GTGTGTGTGTGTGTGTGTGTGTGTGTGCCGGGGGAAGGGGAGGGATCCTCCCTCCCCCACCAATCAATCAATCAATCAATCAATCAATCAATCAATCAACCAATCAGTCAATCAATCATTCAATCAATCAATCAATCAATCAATCAATCAATCAATCATTTTTTTTTGAAAAATTTTCCCTATTTTTTTCTTTTATTTTTGGACACACCAAAAACCACCCCCCCGCAAATAAACTTTAAACCTTTTTCTGTTCGGGTTCCGAAACCCCAATCCGCAACCCTCTTCCCCACACCCCTCCCCCCTCGGCCGCGGGGGATTCATAGCTTAAGAACCAAAATGCACAAAAAAAACAGAAAAAGAATCGAAAATATGCGACACTCTTGGTTCTTCTGAACATCAGTGGTGGTTGAAACGCAGCTGGCCCACCGTTGAAACACGCAGCGTGGGACCCGTAGCGACGTGGCCAGCCGCCAGTGCTCTGCAACAAAATTTTCAAATGAGATCGAGCTCCTTTGTTGTTCCTCTTTCTCTACCCTGCCTTTCTTTCCCCTCCCCCTTCTCATCTTCCTCATTTTCCCCTTCCGTCTCCTTCTTTCTTCTTCTTCTTCTTCTTCTTCTTCTTCTTCTTCTTCTTCTTCTTCTTCCTTTCCTCTACCTCTTCTCCTCCTTTCTCACTTCCCCTTTCTCTTCAGGCCTTACTCCCAGAGAAGTGTAGTGTTGCTAATGGCATTGTTCGGACTCCTGGCTGCGCTGACTGCAGATCCACCGTGACGATGAGCAACAGTGGTGGCACCTGCTCAAACAAAAACACAAAGACACCCATCTTATTTCGTTATTTTTTGGCACACAGGGGGAATCCGGCCCGCATCGGCAGAATGAGGCTCGGACTCTCGGAGGTAGTGGTGATTAAAACATTCATTTTCTTTTTCTTTTTCTGTTTCTTTTTCTCTTTCCAATGCAAGCATCGGCGTAGGGCTTGCCTCAGGGGCTGAAACGAGCAGTTTCCTACTCTGGGCCCATGGTATGTGATGGCTCGTTTCTATTGGTGGGGGTCCTGGGGGAGCTTTGCCTGCTGGAAACCGGGTCCAGCGTCCCTGTGTAATACATCCTTACTGGCCCGTGGTTTGAGAACTGTTCAGTGCTCAGTTCGTGTTCTCAAACCACCTTTATTGCTCAGTCTGTGTTCCGACTGCACTCAACTTCCCTTGTCGCCCCGATACCATTGAGTGGTCCTTGTACGTGCATCCGTGCTGGAGGGATGAACCACCCTCTCATATGCATATTATTGGGATGATTGCGTAGATTCAACATGCCACGAGTACTAAGTAAACTTAGTAAACTAAATGCCAGGCGCCTTCTTGTTGATAACCCATGCTCACCAATCACAGAAGTGACAGAACAAATCAGTTAAATAGGATTCTGAAAGGTCAGTTCGTCTTCTCACACGACCTTTATAATACATCCTTACATGGTGTCCTTTATTGCTCAGTCTGTGTTCCCAACTTCCCACTAGACTGGACTTCCCTGGTCGTCCAGAGATACCACTGACTCACTGAGACCTTGTACCATTGTACGTACATCGGTCACGGTGCGGGAGGGATATAAACGCACGCTCAGGCTCTCATACAGTTGCATACGTTCAACATCCCATGAGCACCACAAAGTGAATGAAATGAGAGAAAACATCCTAGTCAATCACCTCCGGGTTCATAACCCATTCACACCAACTACACAAAAGATTAGTTAAATAGAATTTTGAAAGGTGTGTGCCGCAGACGGGGACTCACCATCCTCCCCACTATGTAAACCTCGCAATATGTAATCCTATCACTGTCCCCTCTATGTCTCCTATTTGCATGCTGATGAACGACTTCTCTCGCCATGCTCTAGCACCTACCTTCCAAGGATGCACAGCCAAAATTTTTGAAAAGAATGACCAAAAAACAAAATGTTGTTTCCATGTTCCCATCTCTAAACCCTGTAGAATAGTGCAGAGCCATGCCCTAGCACCTACCCATGCTCTAGCACCTAGCTTCCAAGGATGCACAGCCAAAAACTTTGAAAAGAATGACCAAAAAACAAAGTGTTGTTTCCACGTTCCCATCTCTAAACCCTGCAGAATAGTGCAGAGCCATGTTCTAGCACCTACCCATGCTCTAGAACCCAGCTTCCAAGGATGCACAGCCAAAAACTTTGAAAAGAATGACAAAAAGTTTGGCAAAAAACAAAGTGTTGTTTCCACGTTCCCATCTCTAAACCCTGCAGAATAGTGCAGAGATGACGTCCATTGTTTATCTCAACGGAATTGGACACTGCAATTTCATGCAAATAGAAATGTATATAATTTCAGGTTTAAGTTAACAAAACGGCAGTTTGTACTATCAATTCAGGACTTCCGCGCAGCCCTTCATGAACACAATTAGAATGCACGATCACACATACCCATAACTGGAATGGTTCGAGTGTGCACACAGTGCCACACACCCAAACCACACTAAGGATGGGGTATTCCCCTCCGTCGCTGGCTGCGGGTGCACCCATAGGCTGCACTACAAGATGGTCGAGACTCGAGAGGACAGCAAGACTGAGCGGGTTTGGAAGAAGGGAAAAAAAAGGCAATTCGCTCCAGACGTCACCGTGTGGAGAGGCGGTTGACGGAGACCCCTAATCATCACACATCTTCCCCATGGCAGCACAACAACAACAACATCCCACACTGCCGAAAATAACGATAAGTGCTATCAGCCACTTTTTGTGCTTATTCCAAAACGCTCTTTCACCACCGTGGTTGCTGCGTGAAGAATTATCAGCGCTCCCAGCACCGCAGCGGTGTAGAACGGAAGCCTTCACTTCCAACTTGAAAAGCCTGAAGTTGTTTGTTCCCACAAACAGGTACCCATCGTCATCTGAAAGTGTGAGGGAGGTAAAGCTGCCCGACAAAGACGAGTTAGAATCGCTTCTCATCACTGCGACTGTCTTCACTTCCATGACATCTCCATCAGGCTCCTTCATGGTGACCCAGCGGATGGCACCACCATCATACTCGGCAACGAAGAGGTTACATCCATCAGATGTTACAGCAATGCCACAAGGCCTGCTAAACTTGGCCATATTTGGGGGACCATCACGGCTGATCCAGGGATAGACACCATTGCGATTTCCAGCCAGCGTCCTTGTGGCTCCTGTGGAAGTATTCACTTGTCGAATCAGATGGTTCGAAGTATCGGCAACATACAACGCGCTCCCGTTCCCAGAAATGGATCTTCCTCCTATTCTTGGCATAGAGAACCGGACAGTGGCACCAGTTGTGCTATCACTGTAGCCTTGCCCAGAGTCTCCCGCAAGTACTTGTGGGATAGATTCGGTCTTGTATTCCAAAGGCACCTTATAGATGCGATCTACCGACGATACAAAGACAACCTGCTCGCTTGGATGCTTGGCTAGGCGCAAAGGCTTAGGCAAACTCTCCCCGGTTGTGAAGTTAGTTTCATCCCTTGTCCTTATGTCTACCTTCTTTACAACGTTATTTCCCGAGTCAGCAACCAGCAAGGTGGTGTCGTCAATCAGCAAGATGCCCTCTGCCGTGGAAGAACTTGTGTACAGCCACGGCCCAGCAATGTGGTTGATTGTGTAGCCCTCCCCTCCTGGGGCCAACACTGCTCTCTTCACATTACACGAAACAGGACCACCAGATGTGACATTGCATTCTGCAAACAGGACAGTTGTGCCATTGCCTGAAACAAATATGTCCTTGACTTCAACATTCGGTATCGAGCCGCCGGATTGCAGCACGTTGCCGGCGTTTGCAAGTAGGCTTGCTTCGTATATCTGCAGGGATAGGCTCTGTTCCGGAAGTTCTCGCCCCGCACCGGCCAATCTCTCGGTCGAGACTGCATCCTCGGGTTCCAAGATGTCTTCGTGATCATAAGGAAGGTGGTTCTTTGTACGACGTTGACCAGTGGCATCATGCCCATTAGAAAGTCCGGATATGACATCTTCCGCACCAACGCGACAGTCAGGAAAGAGATCTGAAATTGTATAACTCAGCAGCATGGCCCCTAGGAGCCACAAGATTTGCAATTGGCCTAGGTTCATATTGTCAGGTGCGTCTGGTCAAGTGGCTAGAAAAATAGTTTCTTCAGTTCAGGTGAGATGCTGAGCGGAATGGTAGAAACTTCCAGGGAAGAGCTGAGCGAGCTAGGTCTTGTTCGGAGCTGCATCCAACTGCTGAAGGTGGGGAATTACCTACAGCCCACAGTGTCACCAATGTTTTGAAATGACTTAACTGTCTCCCTTTCTTGGCCTGGCCCTTGATACTTGACGTATCCCACATTTGACCGTCATGCGGTACAGTATAGAAGTGTCAGGACTCAGCTGCGGCATCAATTGCACTGACATCCAATGATGACTCGGAGTTCTGCCTCTCCAACATAACCCACTGGGATGACCAAGCACTAGCACAGCAGCTCCACCTGTTAGGCACAGGACAAGCCATCAGAATGGCCAAGTCACGGTAGGCAAAGGAACATGAGTCAAGATGCATCATTACATGATCAAGTGTAGCTGAAGTCAGAATATGCATCAGACTGAGTTGCCGTCCGAGTTACTAAGGTAACTGAAACGGTTTTCACCTTTGCAGTAGCAGGCGCAGATCCCAGGGCTCTATCCCTAGACCTTGTCCCCATCCGTGTACAGTACCAAGCCAGCGAAGTCGCCCCCGGTGTGTTTGAACCCGTGACCTGTGTTTTGGTAGTCGGCTGTTGTCTGCTGTAGGTTAGTGTAGTCTTCGGGTCTCGATCCGCAGGTCTGTCGAGTAGGGGTCGTAGCTGTGTAGAAGTCGTAGCTGCTACAGTCCTGAAAGGTCAAGGTGGTAGCTGCTACAGTCCCGAAAGGCCAAGTCTACAGACTTCCGGAAGGTCCGGAACTGGCCTTTCGAGAATTATCAGAGTCAGGCCAGAGGCAAGTGGGCAAGTGGGCAGTCCAACCTCGCCTAGTCAGCGGTACCCAGTCCCAGTTGCACTTTGTCCAGTCAGCAAGTACCATGTGGGACTGTGTGGGCCCGGTGGAAAGGAACTGACCAGCGACCAACCGAAGTATAAATCAAGAGGCAGAGTCCAGTCATTCATTGATTCTGCCCGTGAGCCGTGCGGAAGCGCTGCCTGAGCATCTTGTGCAAGGAGGTCTGCAGGCGCCCGAAGGAGAAGTGGACGGTGAGGGAGACGAAGCCTCCATCACGACTAGTAGCTAGGAAGGTAGAAGGCAGCCATAGGTGCCATAGGTTAAAGATAGGCTGTAGCGTGTAAGTGTGTGAGGGCTGTGTGCAGTGTGTGCATGTGTGGGACATACAGGGAGATCCAGAGTAGCATGCGTATGAATAGTGGCTGGGAACACAGCGCCGGAGGGGTGTTGTGATGGCACACAGGCGCAATAGCTAGTGGAAGCAAGTTTGAATCTGAATTGTGTTCTTGGCCTCGATATCTCTGAGCTTTGTGTGGGCGCCTGGCGCCAGTGTGATTGTCATCTGTTTTCATGCATGCTGAGTAATGAAGGACACGAGTCTGGTTGCATAACCGCTCCTTGCTTACAGGTGGAGGATTTCCTTCAGCCAGTGACCAAGCAGCTGACAGGCCAGCTAACAGCCCAGCAGAGGGAGCAGCACACACACACACACACACACACACACACACACACACACTGCGGTCATGACCGCCATGCCGGGGTCAGTGGGAGGGGCATGACGCAAAATCATGGAAATTACAGGGGCGTCAGACATCCCTTGATTGATTGATTGATTGATTGGTGGGGGAGGGTTCCGCCCCCCACACACAAAAAAACGCGGGCACACACACACACACACACACACACACACACACACACACACACACACACACACACACACACACAGAGTGAAGTCTCCCCCCCCACACACACATTGAAGTCCCCCGGACGTCATAAGGGGGGTTGCTGTACGGGCCGTACGAACAGACGCCCGTACGGCCGGCTCCCCGTTGAACATGCCAGGGCCCAGAGGGGGGGTGCCGCCGGGGGCAGCTGCATTGGGGGGATAGCGGGGGTGGCAGGGACCCCCACCGTATTCGAAAATAAAAATAAAAATTGTTCTTTTTGGTGAAAAATGAGAAAAACTTGATTGATTGATTGATTGGTTGATAGATTGAGTTGCTGATTCATTGATTGATTGGTGTGAGAAAGTGGGGAAGGCAGCGGGAGCGGGGGAGGCAGCAGGAGCGGGAGAAGAAGCGGGAGTGGGAGCGGGGAGGCAGCGGGAGCGGGGGAGGAAGGGGGAGTGGTGGAGGCAGCGGGAATGGGAGAGGGAGAGGCAGAGGGAGCGGGAGAGGGGAAGGCAGACGGAGCAGGAGCGGGAGCGGGGGAGGCAGCGGCGAGGCAACGGGAGAGGCAGTGTGTGTGTGTGTGTGGGGGGGTGCACATATGTGTGTGCGTGTGTGTGTGTGTGTGTGTGTGTGTGTGTTCGCATATGTGTGTGCGTTTGTGTGTGTGTGTGTGCGTGTGTGTGTGTGCGTGTCTGTGTATGTGTGTCTGTGTGCACGCCGCGGGGAGGTGAACCTCCCGCAGCGATCAATCAATCAATTCGATGTGGAAAGCCTGACCACTTTGCGAACATTTGTGATTAACATTGGGATGCCCGGTATCTTGACATTCCCTTTGTTCCTCCGCCGTTTTCAAGACCAGGACGGATGATGACACCTGGTACAGCAAGAAGAAGAAGCTTATCGGCAGATACAAATTTCTCGCGGAGGTCTGTTCACGATACGAGCGCGTTGATTCGGGATTACATTGATCGATAACACTCAACGCAAAGCACGTTAAGGAAACGGAAGCACGGGAAGCGGAGCGTAGAAAGGAAGAGGATTTGAAGAAAGAACGAGAACAGAAGAAGCAGGAGGAGTCCTTCGGGACATCCGTTAAAATTGAAACGATACAGAGAAGATTAGCATGGCCCCTGCGCAAGGATGACACACATAAATCGAGAAATGGTCCAAAAAAAAAAAAAAAAAAAAAGAAGCAGCAGGAGGAATTACTGGAGAAACATAGATATGCAGAGGAGAGAGATGCACGTCTGATAAGGATTATTTGAGTTGAAATCAGGAATTAAGGGGGAGGAGGGGGGGGGGGGGAATGAGAAGGCCCAGCAGAAGCCGAAACGGAGTGTACCGCGCAATGAGTACGACGAGCAAGTTGAATAGGAAAAGGGACGGTTGCGCAAGACTATCTAATTGCATGAACAGGAGGCCAAATTTTATGTGGTTTTCCGGGTCACACACAGGCACGTATTTTGCGTATTCACACAAAAGGGCACATGAATGTCAGCGGCCTGGACAGCCGCAGGCTTACATATTTCTTTTTCCTCTACTGCCTTTTGGAAGCTTTTTTTTTTTTTTTTTTTTTTTTTTCAGGCGTGTTGTGCCGTCTGACTGCACACAGCGCATTTTCGCATCTCAAGGGGGAATGTTATTCACCCGATCAGCATTCAATGACTGGCATACATTTGACTCAAAACAAAGACAGAGGAGAAGAAAGAAGAAGAGAGGAGGAAGAAAATACACCCAATCGTTCCCCAACGTGACCACAGTGGCCGAAAGATAATCATTAAAAACCGCCGATAGTTGGCCAAAAAATCAAAGTGGAACAAACCGACAAGGCCCAGCGACCCTACGCTACGTTTCATCCGGCCGCCAACCGGAATCAGTCTTCAAATGTCGCATCTCAAGGCCAGGTCGTGACCGTCCTTTCTGCTTCGGGTGAGCAGTGTGACCCGCAGGTGCCATATAAACGCAAATTCACATACGTAATATTTGCAGCAGTACGTGCTACACTAGTGTGAGTATGCCCTCAGCTGAGACCAAGGGCAGAGCGGGCTTGGCGCCAAATCCTAAACGAAAACGCGGGAAGGAAGGAAGTAGCTGTGGCCCGTGGGCAACAGCCCACCTCGGCCACCTAAGGCGGTTGCTGCCAAAGCACCAAGAGTGTGACTATCGCCCTTCCACCAGCGACGACGATGAGGACCGATCGAGCACATACGAAGTCGGGACCGTGGGGGCCTAGTAGGGAAAAGCACGAGGACTCCGAGGCATGGGATAATCGGTAGAAGGCGCCCACGCCAAAACGTTTTCGATTTTGGGCACCCAAAGTTTGGCCGTTTGGTACTACCGGCCCAATGACTTGCATGTGGGGTACTAAAGGCCCACGCGTCTCTCCAAGGGCCCTACAGGACCATGAATCTGGGGCATAACAGCGCCAGATTCATTTTGACGTAAAAGAGGCCGGCGGTGGTAACACTGAAGTATAGAATGAGGCCCACGTACGCAATTTTAAAAAAGAAGGGCCCTACCGGTTCATGAATCTGGCACAGAAACAGCGCCAAATTCTTGAAACGGTAAAAACAGGCCCAGGAAGATGTGGCCACAGGGCGAAGGCGCCTTTCACCCAGGGGAAAGTTGTTTGGGCCGGTAGTACCAAACGGCCGAACTTTGGGCGGCCAAAACCGAAAAGGTTTTGGCGTGGGCTCTTTCTACCAATTATCCCCCGAGGCATGCTAGTTGTTCTAGGGACTGGCAATCGACGAACTTAAAGAAGGATGCAAGAACGAGCGGACGGATCAATCACCGGAAGCGGGAGGTGGCGATCAATAGGCTGGTGAAGAGGAGGGCTGCCCAAGCATACGACCCCATCAACGTGGCCCTGCCAAACAGACCGAAAACGACGAGGATGATTGCAAGAAACACCGTCAGGAAGACTAACAAGAAAACGAGGAGGGTGGCGAAGCCACGTGGGAGTGAGACGACGAACCTACAGCAGCACTACGGCGAAAGGTGCACGAGGGAAAGGCGGCACTCAGGGTATAGGGCAGAATGGACCCACTCGTGATGATGAGCCGCGCATGCGCACGCTGGTGGTGCTTTACCTTGTGTTCCATTGAAAAAGCACAGTGGTGTACTACCTTTTTCCCCCGAATACAACGTACGGTCATTATAGCTGTATTTAGTCTGAACGACAGCCCAAATAGAGGTATTATGACCGCACGTTGTATTCGGGGGAAGAAGGTAGCAAGTTCCTTGAGTGTTTCACACTGCACAGAACTTGAAGGAAGCTGAAGCTGCGAAGCAAGGCGGCAATTTGAATTACAGTCTTCCCCCGAATACAACGTACGGTCATTATAGTTGAATTTGGTGTATCTTTCGGTCTAAATTCAGCTATAATGACCGTACGTTGTATTCGAGGGAAGACTGTAGTCAACACCTAGAAGCACAATCATAATGGCGTATACGTTCTGGTGTCGACTT